ATAATCTAATGGTCTAAAGTTGCACAGTGACACTTGTGTAATTATTGAGAAGTCTCGTGGCGTTTATGAATGTTCAAATCTGACGATTGTAAATCTAATCCAAGGGTTGAGAATTGGTCTTACGGGTCTCACGAAAAACCATTGGTCTCACATGATCCCAAGTCTATATATATATATCCCTAACGGATTGATACTTTGGTACATCAAAATATTCTTCTAACCTTGAATATGTTATTTTCTATACTCATAATTTTTTTTAATCATCAATCATTTGGTACCATTTATCCATACTCCTTAAATATTAAGTATGTTACATTCAACTACTTTTCTCAAATTGCATATATATGTTCACATTTATTGAACATATATACGAATAGAGATCGAGAAGAGATTGCAAATATAAGTATATGAAGAGGGTATGTGATCGTGTAACTGTATAATGTCTATATTATTAATAGGGAGTTTACAATCATATATTAAATCAAAAAAGATATTGGGTTCATCGGTTTGGTTGAGTTCAAATGATCGTAACACAATTCTAATCCAATACCTATAGTTTGAAAAATTTACAACTCGATTAGACATCAGGTTGCTTCGAGTTGGGGTCTTTCGTGTTGGATATGGTTGGTTGGGTAAAACTTAGTTCTCTATTATTAAAATTTTATTTTTTTCACTTCTTCTTAGATCCGACCATTCTGATGAAAAGGCTTGTAATCTGCTACTAATTTTAAAATGAGATATTATAATCTCATGGGAATTGACATTTTATTGCTAGAGTAAACAATAAATTTGGTTCATGTGGTTTGTCGAAAATAGTATTTTACGTTTTTGCAGTTTTGCAATCACAAGAGAATCATCATGGTTTGTCAAAAATAGCATTTTTCGTCCCTACGGTTTCAAAAATATAAAATGGTGAATTTAATCAATATTATTATCAAATCAATTCAATTTTTTATTATAATTTAAATGAAATTTAATAACGAACTAATTTATTTTTCGTTTAAAAAATTATTTTTTTAAGATGATAATTAAATATTCTGTTAGATTTCAATAATTATCTTAATTATATTTTAAATTTTTTATATTTAAAATGAGATGTTTATCATGTATTTGATTATGTTTATCTGCAGTCAGTTACACGAACTCAAATATGAAGCTTTAATAAGTTATACTTATACACAATTTATTTATAATCTTAAATTTTAAGTAATATGCATCAATAAACAATACTTCATACATAAAAAATGATTTTTAAAAGTTTTTATCAAATACTTTATAATATATATATATATATATATATATATATATATAGGGGAG